CGTCGATTGCGTCGATTGCGTCGATTGCGTCGATTGCGTCGATTGCGTCGATTGCGTCGATTGCGTCGATTGCGTCGATTGCGTCGATTGCGTCTCGGGCGAGTCCGAGAACTTGGTACGCGTCAGCCCATGAGTGTTAGGGAGGTAACAGTTCGGGAAGCATTATTGTTATTCTGTGTAAACTGGGTGAAATACCCTATATTTCAAAGGGGTTTGGGAGAAGATGAACAACTTATAATCAGGATTTATGTTTGGATTATCTTGTCTCCACCTCTCTGCTCGTCCCCTACCATAGATGCTGGGGATGACGTCGGGGTCGGTGTCGTCCAGGGGCCCGCGGACGCCCACCGCCCGGAAGGTGGAGTGCGACGCCGAGGGTGCGGGCGCGATCCCGAGTCCCTCGAGGCACTCGAGGTCGGCGATGATGTGGTTGCCCGTGGCGGCGTGGTGGTCCATGCCGGGCATGAGGGTGGCCGTGTTGGGCGGCGGCGGCGGCTTGCCGGCCGCGCCCACGCCGTTGACGCCGGCCGCGCCGTGGTGCGGGTGGCGCCGGCCCGCCGTCAGGCGCCGCCGGCAGAGGGCGACGGCCGTCACCAGGAAGGCGAGCGTGAGCACCGCGGCGCCCGCCACCACGGCGGCGAGCAGCGGGCTGGGCGCGCTCAGGCGCGTCACGTCTGTGGACCAAAAACATACAAAATTGTCAAAATCGAGTGCAAATTTCGTTCCAAAATTTACGTCTTTCCGAGTAACTTCATTTTTGGTCTACTTAGGACTAGTTCTTTTCATCATTGACCCAAGATACCGGGTCTGGTTTCTGATTTTATTTTTACTTTCGAAAATTAAAGATATTCATGAAATATGAACCCACTCCAAATCTGGGCTCTGTAGCTCAAACGGTTTAGGAGATACAAATTCTTAAAGTTTTGACGCAAAAATAGCGGCTTTAAAGGCTGGTGTAGGTATAACTCTATGACAATGTCCAGTGACGTGAAATCTGACCAGACTATTTAAAAGAGGATAAAAAACTGATTCTAAACCACCAATGTCAAAAAGTTGAATTTGAGTTTTCTACCCTTCGATCAAACATATCAACAAAATTTAGCATATTAGCGTAACTCTCATAGGAAAAATATATGGTCTCCAATTGTCACCAAATTTGGTGTACAGTTTCTACTAAGGTCCCTTAACATTCTCTAATTTTTGTGGGAAGGTAATATTAAAAAAAAAATTAAAATATTTTTTTACTAGTTTTTCTATGTTGAATATTTTTAAAAAAAGTTATTTTTTTGAATATCATCTTCCCACAAAAATTAGAGAATGTGAAGGGATCTTAGTAGAAACTGTACACCAAATTTGGTGACAATTGGAGACCATATATTTTTCCTATGAGAGTTACACTAATATGCTAAATTTTGTTGATATCTTTGATCGAAGGGTAGAAAACTCAGATCCAACTTTTAGACAATGGTGGTTCGGAATCAGTTTTTTATCCTCTTTCAAATGGTCTAGTCAGATTCCACCTCACTGGACATTTTCATAGAGTTATACCTACACCACCCTTTAACGCCGCTATTTTTGCCTCAAAACTAAGAATTTGTATCTCCTGAACCATTTGAGCTACAAAGCCCAGATTTGGAATGGGTTCATATTTCATGAATACCTTTAATTTTCGAGAGTAAAAATAAAATCCGAAACCAGACCCGGAATCTTGGGTCAATAATGAAAAGAAGTAGTCTAGATGGGCTATTATATAGGACGCTGACCTGTGAACTTGGCGACGCCCTTGAAGCGCAGCTCCTGCAGCACCACGGGGTCCGAGCGGCCCTTGGCGTTGATGGCGTAGACGCGCACCTGGTAGGCCGCGCTCTGCTCCAGGGAGCCCTGCCACTCCATGACCGGTGGGCCGCGGGTCACGTTGACGTTGTACCTGCGGAGGTAGCGCCAAGAGGAAAGGGGTTACTCCGCGCGTCACAGCAGCGTCACGTTGCATCGGCGCGGAGTATCGCCCGCTCGGGGACATACTCCGCGCCGCGCGACGGCCGGCGAGGTCGTCGGGGAAAGAACAGGGGGAAGTCCCATGCGGGCCGTTTTAGGAGAGTGCACGGACGACAACGATTGGAAAGCGCGTATTGACGCATTCACTTTGACGCGACCACAATGTGGTCATGTTATGTTTTGGCGAATATTCAAGTATGTGTCGTCCCACTGAATATGTTTGAACGTATTGTGCACTCATTTACGAGCTGCTTCAATTCTCCAAGCTCTCTGAGATTACTAATTTTTACATTACGTAGTGATTAGCTTTGTTCACTCGATAGTCCTGGTCCTTTACTTTGTACAGTGACTGGCACACTTTTTGTTACCGTGTGTGTTCCTTCGACACACCGTCGTCGCAGATACCGTAGAGTATATCGACCGCACTCACTTGGGCACCAAGTATGGCAGCTCCAGCAGCTCCAGCTGGAAGCCCTGCGGCAGGCCCCCGTCAAAGTTCTCCAGACACTCGACTCGCACCCACTCGGAAGTGTGATTCGTGAGCGAGCAGTTGGAGGGGGGGAAAGGTCGGCCTGCAGACAGAAAGAGACAAAGTCAACGACCCCGCGGGAAAAGGCACCTCGCTGCAGACGCTGGCACGAGGAAAGCCACCAGCCCTCTTCTCAGTCACCAGGAGCAGTGTGTTTCAGAGCTTAGTTTCCATATTTTATCCTGGTTGAGGTTCATCATCTGGCAAATTTTGAGCCCCCTCGTTAAGCGAACGCACAGAAGATAGGAATTCAGCATATTGGCCGGGAATCAAATCTGTGCCACACAGGGATTGTTCGACTACTTCCGGAATCGATCTCGGATACATTTCCCTAAATTTTTGTGGTTTTGTTTACAAAAAAGATGCTGAGAACTGTATCCGAGGTCGGGACCGGAAGTTAGGTTCAGCGAGTGAGGTCCATTGCGGGGGAAAAAAGTGGCGGCGCTTTCATCGCGGGGGGCGGCGAGACGCACCGGCGGCGGCGGCTCGGAGAGAGGCTACGACATTATCACATCCAAATTGAAAGCAAACAGGGGGCCGCGGAACTGACACCTCCGGTCGCGCCGCGCCGCCGCCGCGCCGGGGACCCGCTCCATCAGAGGAGGAGGTGCGAGTGAAAGCGTTGCCGCGGGCTGCGGCCGAGTGCGAGCGAGACGGCCGAGGGGGTGACGCCCCTTATCACCTGTCGCACACACTTCGCCGGCGCCAGCCTTATAAGGCGTCCCCCGCCCCCTCCACACACACACACACACATGCCCACACACACAGGCGTACACACACTCTCACTCTCTCACACTCACCCGCGGCGACGACCTGGAAGATGCAGGGCGTGCGCTGATGGCCCACCGCGTTGGAGCCGTAGCACGCCAGCGTGCCGAAGTCCATGTCGGAGGAGGGCGTGTAGTTGAGCGTGGACGAGCTGCCCTGCGAGCTGAACTTGGACGAGGGCACGTCGTTGGACTCGCCCGAGTTGTTGAAGGTCCAGTGGAAGGCGACGGCGGCCGGGTGGGCGTCCAGCTCGCAGCGCAGCGTCACCGTGTCGTGGCGGCCCGCGCCGTGCAGCTCCTCGCGCGCGCTGCGGCACGTCGGCGCGTCTGCAAGCAAGCAAGTCGACGAGGCCGTCAGAGAGGCGCCCGCTACTGTGTCTGTTGACCCCTGTTGCTCGGCCCACGTACCCCCCGGGGGGGCCGAGCAAGCAAGCAAGCGCGCGGAAAGGCCGGCGGGTCGCTGCTGCTGCGAAGCAAGGGAGCCCGGCGGGGATTACGGTCCGGCAAATTTCTCATCTCCTCCTTTAAACCTCCAAAGAGGGTTTGGGCGCAAAATCCCCGGGTAACACCGGGCGTAACAAGACTCGATGAGATGGGACGCCACCGGGCCGAGGCCAGAGGAGCAGGGGCACGCGGGGTCGAGCTGGAGAGACAACCAGGTGAAGTCACGTATTACATGAAATGAATTGATCCGGGTCGGCACGGTCCCCTTTTCCTCTTCCCCTCCCACCAGCGCTCGCACCCTCTCTGCTTTCGCCGCGCGCCCCTGCGCCTGATGTATAGGGTGGGACAGCAACCCAAGCCCCGGTCCCAAGACGGTCCTTGTTGTGTCCCAATCTACCCCCCAATCCCTTCAGATCCCCCTCTCCCTCCACCCCCAGCGCACCCTCCCCCGGAGCGCTAGCTCAGAGATTTACCCCTCGTATCCGCTGAGCGCAGGGCGCAGCGGGCCCGGCCCCGGCTCGGGGGTGGCGGCGGTGGTGGCGGCGGTGGTCCCCGGCGGCCACGGCCTGTGCGCCGCACGGGCACACAAGCCCCGGTCCTTCCTCCCCCACTACATTGTCATAACCTACATGCTGCTTGATTCCAAACCCATTCCTTCCTATTCCGGGGTTCGGCCCTTCGAGCCGAGCCTGCCTGCCCCTGGCAGCAGCGGGTCGCGGGAGGCGAGCCCGGCGAGCCGAGCCAAACGAAAGGCCCCCCCGTCCGCTCTGCCCCCACTCCCCCTCCCCGTGCTTACCCGCTCCCACCTCCCTCTGGGCACAGCGAAGCCTAGCACCGTGAAAAGGAGCCGGCATCTCTGATTGAGGGCTTATCCAGAGTTTCATGCATTAATCTTGCTTTCCGTCGCTTCGTTTTTCACCCCCGCCCCTCCTCTCCTTCTGCCCCGCCCTCTCGCCCTACCTTTTATTCTCAGCTTTGCTTTCTCTCTCCCCCTTTCCCTCCTCCTCTTTCCGAATTTCTCCTCTGCTTCCCCTCTCTCTCTAGGAGATGCAGCAGACAGTCCTCGTCGCTCTCGCTGCGCATCCCCGAGCCCCATTTGTGTCTTTCCTTTCTATTTCTGCGAGGCCAGAGCGCCGAGCTTTGAAGACTTCTTCAAGAAATCGCGTCGCCGCCGCAACAAAAAAGAGACAATCTGCCGGCATTTTTGTTGTCCCTGCGAAAAGACGCGAAAGTTGCGGACGCGATGAAGAGCTTGTCAAACGTGCGGACGAGTCACGCAACACGACTTTGGGAAAGAAACTAGGATTCCGCAAGAAAATAAAAGTAAAAATAAACGTTACAATTAAACTTTAAGTTACGCACGAGGTGAGCGCCATCGAGTGAGCCGCTCTAGGTTGCATACTCACAAGGTGTTACAAATTAGAAAAACAAAATCAGAGAAAGTTTTTTTTTTTAAATCATGAAAAACAACAGATATTCTAAATGAGTAAAAGTTGAATTTTTTGCAAAGTTCCCCCCCTCGGCACCAACCCAGCGTTGACGGACTTACACATGACGTTGAGCGGGACGGGGTTGCTGGTGCCCTTGCCCTCGCTGTTGGCGGCCATGCAGGCGTAGTCGCCGGCCGACTGACGCGAGACTCCTTGCAGCACGAGGCTCTGGTCGCTGAGGATGACGCCGGCCGACACGTTGTGCTGCAGCTCGCGGCCCGCGTGGAACCAGGCCAGGCGGTACGCCTTGGGGTTGGCGCGGATGTTGCACTCGAAGTACACGTCGTCGCCCTCCTTGATGTCGTTGGGGTTGAGGCTGGCGCCCATGCGTAGCGTCACCACAGGCGGGTCTGCGGGAGGGAGAGAGAGAGCAGGGGTTAGTGAGGGTGACAATAAAACCGGAAGTCGGAGAGATTATGATGACAGACGCCTGCTAATCGGAAGCGGAAACGGTCGCGCGACCACACGGCACAGGGGAGGGGCGGAGGGCGGGGGGCGCCACCCACAGCTTCATAACGGGGCGCCCCACCTACACACACCACACCGCGCCACACCACGCCGCGCGCGCAAACTTTTGAAATTGACACTACCAGCAGGCTAAAAAGAGGTTGGCTGCGAACAGGCGCTGGGGTTGGAGAGAGAGAGGGAGGGGGGGGGGGCTATGCCGCGAGTCGGAGGGGAGCGAGGGGGAGGGGTTCTGTGCCGCAGGGGAGCGCAGGCGACCCTCCCCGCCCCGCTCTCCCCCGGCATATAATTGACACAGAGATCGCCTTTTAATGCGGCGTGGGAGGCAGGCGGGTGAAGGGGGGAGAGAGGGTGGAGGGGAGGCAACAGCGGGGTAACCCCCTCTCCCTCCCTACCGGCCTGGCCTCATCACCTTCCCGGCTTTTACCGCCGCCGTACCAAACTTGGCCTTCCTAGCGCGTCTAATGCAGCGGCGGCGGCAGTGGCACAGACCAAGATTACCTTTCGCGACATACTTTTGCGCGCGGCCATTTTAAAAGCGCCTTGCTGCTGCCGCTGCCCCGCCCTGCTCGCCGCCTACCGCTCTCCTCGGAAGCTGAAAACTCATCTCGCGAGCGGCGCGCGGCACGCGAGTAAATGCGATTCTAGGAAAATCGCGTCTGCGGATGGATTCTCTGTCATCTCGGAGATATTTGCTTTCTCTAGCAAGAAAACAGCGGGAAAGCATCAGGCGGGGGTTGCACTACCCGCACCGAGCTGCTCTCGCGTGCACAGATCCCTTGGTGCCGGTTTGTGCGCTCAAAGCGTGTTTTCATACCGTCAGATACACAAAAGCATAGGTGTCGCTTTCATCGACGGTGACGCTGAGCACTCTCGTACGCGAAAGGATGATTGAAGGGCAACAGGGATCAATAAGAGAAACGCAGAGAGATAGACGAGGGGGGAGTAGGGCAGAGAGAAGAAGAAAAGGGGAGAGGGGGAGGGGGAGGGCAGAGCCGGTTTCGGCTGGCCGGGGTGGCCGGAATCCATTCCGTGACAATTTCCCCGTATTAGGAACGGAAGGGGCCAATCTGCCGGCACCTGAGCGAAGTCGAGTGGCGGAAGGTTTTGGGCGGGGGATAGAGGGGGCAGAAGGGGATGGACACGAAGCAGGAAAAGGCACAGGCCGCGAAATGTACCTTCACCAACAAAACAATTTTTTTTTTCTCCATGCGAGGGTGAGGTTTGGGAGGAGGAGTGGAGAGGGGGTGTGGGTAAGAGGCGGGGCACAAGAAGACGGAAACAAACTGTCCCGACAGAAACATGCCACTCTCGTGTAGACCAGCCGGGTACAAGTGCGAAAAAGACCGTCTGCTCTTCGTCCGCAGTCGCCTCACGACCCAGACGGGCAGCCAGTCGCTTAGTGTAGCTTAGCCCTGTACAGGTGTGACCGCCCGCCTCTTCGCCCCCGACAAAGTCGTCGCCCTGCTCAACTTTGCCTAAGTGGGAAAGGCGGAGAGAAGGCGGCAGGGGGTAGGGGGTTAAGGGGAGGGGGGAGGGGGCAAGACTACTAGGAGGAGCCGGGCGACTTTGCAGCGGAGGCAGTAGCAGGTCTCTTTCGCGTGAAACTTTACAATATCACACCTAACTTGAGAAGTGAACGTGAGCGCGCGGCGGCGGTCGGAGGGAGCAGTCGGAATGAGGGAAAGGGGGGGGGGGGCATATTGAGCAGCCTAGGACGTCGCAGCAGCCGGATAGTTGGCTATGTGTTTTCTGCCCTATTTTGGCCTCCTAGTTTACCTAGCCGCTCAAGGGTTACGTCAGTTTCCGCGCATAAAGTGATGAAAACGCAACAACAACAAACGGTGTAAGCAACAGATCCAACAGAGCCTCCTTACATTGCACGTCGAGGCGCCAGCGGTCCTCGAGCGCCGAGTCCGGGATGGAGGGGTTCTCGGAGCGGCACGTCAGGTACTTGCCGTCGTCGTCAATGGCCGGCACGAAGCCCAGCACGCTCACGGAGTGGTTGCCGTCCGCCGAGAACTGAAACAGAAAGCACACGCAGCGGTTGGCTAAAAGAAACTGGAGACGGGGAGCGTGGCGTGGCGTGGCGGGCGGGGCGGGCGTGGTGGTTCAAAGGCCACCGCTGTGCCGGCGGTGGTGCGGGTCCTGCTCGGCCTTGCTGCTGCAGGAAGTATCATCCCACCCCTCCGCTCACCGGCGCAGCGGCGGCCGGCGCCACGGCCACGGCTGCCAACTTCCCACTACCCCCGAATTATGAAGAGAGAGGGTCAGTTTGAAACTGATAGTAGGGAGTAAAAGAGCTTCCCACCAGCCAGCCATCCCCCCACCCTTGTTGCCTCGCCTTCGCCTCGTCTAACCTCCTGTTCCCTCCCCCTCCCCGCGCCGAACAGCCCCGAGCAGCCCAACCCCAACCACGTTGTCCTGGGGTTCTACCGCTGATGAGAGGGCGGTAGAACTTCCACGGTACTTGTATTACATCAGCCTCATCAGCCAACTTTTCTTGCCGGAGCAGTATACTCAACTGAATGAAAAACAGCTCGGCGCGCCCCGCCAACGCTACGCTACACCACCCTCACACACACACACGCCTTGGGGCACGAATACCTCGCCAAGCCTATCTTGGTAATGCACAGCAGGTCTCCGCCACTCTCCGCCACACCCTGTGCGGCGGCGCCAAGCCTGCTGCATGTGAGAATCAGGCCGTTCGGGAGCAAAACACGCCACTATTTTCACTTCCCCACCCACTCCCCCCACCCGCCCCCTCTCACCAATTCGTGTGCAATTTCATACACAACACACAGCGCGCACCATATCGTCATCAATGACTGTAATGATCATACACAATCTGTGCAGCAGTTCTCGAAAGTTTTGTAAAA